CCCCAAAACCCCAAAACCCCAAAACCCCAAAACCCCAAAACCCCATTTCAGATTGGCTATATTGGGAAGTTTAAATATTAATTGGAAAATGTCAAGTTCAAAATTGCGTTGGAAGTCAGACTTTGACAAGCAATGTATCATACATAACTTTGAAAAGAGAGGCTGGAGTCGTTGTACAAGTGATGATGACTGGAATATTTACTGGGCTAATGTATGGAATGTCAAGCAAATATTCAACCCAGACACAGGTCATCGGCTAGGCGAAACTCAACTGCTAAACCACTTTCCTAACCACTACGAGCTTACTAGAAAAGATTTGATGGTCAAGAATATTAAGCGGTATAAATAAAGATATGGAAAAAGAGAACAATCCTATTGCTAGCAAAGATAAAGAAGGAAATTATGTTTATCTTGATATTATTCCAATTACTTATATACTTCCTGGAGACTACACCCTCTTTGTAGAAGAGTTTCGGAAGAACAAGAATGCTATGTGGATTATGAAGCCTTGTGGAAGAGCACAGGGGAAAGGTATCTTCTTAGTCAACAAACTTAACCAGCTCAAGAAATGGGCTACTTGTTCAAAGCTTCCCTTTCAAACCCTATCTCTTAAAGAGTCTTATGTTATCTCAAAATATGTTGAGAACCCTCTGCTGATTGGCGGTCGTAAGTTTGATCTTCGCCTGTATGTCCTAGTTACTAGCTACAGACCTCTGAAAGTATGGTACTACAACATCGGATTTGCTAGATTCTGTAACGAAAAATATACAGCTGATATTGCCGAACTTGACAATATGACCATCCATCTTACTAATGTTGCTATCCAAAAGCAGTCTGAGGAATATAACGATAAGCATGGTGGCAAGTGGAACACCAATAATCTGAGATTTTACCTTGAAATGACTCACGGAAAGACTCTCACGGACAAATGTTTTGAAGACATCTATAATATAATAACAGTATCTTTAAAATAGCGTGACTAGCGTTATGATCAACGACAAACACTGCTTCGAGTGCTACGGATATGATATCCTAATCGATGATGACCTCAAGCCATGACTTATTGAGGTAAACGCTTCCCCATCTCTAACTGCAACATCTGAGGGTGATCGGGTTCTTAAAATGGGCCTACTTAACGATGTCTTTAACATCGTAGCCCCTAATGACTGGTTGGATGACTCCAGCAAACATGGATCTAATACTTGCAAGGAAAGATCTGTTGGATCATTCTCTCTTCTCCTAGACGAAAGTGGAGGAGAAGACAGAGGTAAGAAGAACAATAAGAAAACTGGCGGTACTGCTCTTTGGAGATAACCCCATCTTACTACTTTTTCAACGATGTTCCAGAAGAAAGGGGTTTTGGGGTTTTGGGGTTTTGGGGTTTTGGGGTTTTGGGGTTTTGGGGTTTTGGGG